GAATGTCGCAGTTGCCAGGTTTATGCTTGACCATCCACTCCATGGACCAGGTAACTTTATTACTCATTGTACCCTACAGAACTTCTGGAATGAAATAAAGTCTAACCCTGGATTTACACTAGATGTGACTCCACTGTGCTGTGGTGTCCATTCATGTTTTAATAAATAGCGCTGATTAGCAGCGCGGCTACAAGCGGTAATGTTCCTAAACTTTTACAAAATTAACGAGTAGTTTGTGAACTCAAAACACAAGAAATCCTGACAAAATGAGCTGCTAGTCCACAGCTCATAGGCTGAGCTCCTCTCTGTCACTCACACACACACCCCGCAGGTCAGACAGTCCCGGTCAGGAGCATTAACCCTTTAGGGCCCAGATTATAATCGGTCTTTAAAATGTGATAAATAAATTATTCTCAGTGACTGAGAGGAAGTTTTTTGATAGTTGCATTTTGAACTGTTATCCTTTATCAGCCGGTTACATCATCAAAAAGAATTGCGCGGTTGGCCGGTAGACTACAGATCTCTATCATAGGACAAATTTATATTGTTACTACTGTATATCGTTTATATCGCGCATTCCTAGTCTGGGATGGTCAGTTGTTGTGCATTTCCTGCTCTTATCCAAAATATGGCAACGCGCTCCTCCTCCTCTGTCTCATCTCATTAATGACTAACGTGAGGGGGTGGTACCCGATGCATCCAAAACTGGACGCAGACGGCTACCTGACCAAGAATCAATATGTGACGAGTCAGGAGTGAGAATAGGTTGGCTCATCAGTAGCACCAGTATTTTGTTTGGTCAATTTTTCCACTTAACAAAATAGACCAGTAATGTCTTCACAAGTATCCACTTAAATGAAATAGTTTTTAAAGAACAACACCTCAGTTTAAATAATTAATTCAAATATTCTTTGAACTTTGTGAGTAAAACTCTTCCCGCCAGCGGTCCCTCACTAGATACTGGTTCACATTATTTCACCCACCTGGGTTGCTTGGCCAATCAGAACTACTCAGAACTTCAAGGTTCACCCCAAATTTCCAGGCAAATTGAAAATAATTATTTTCTTACAAGGGTTGTTTTCCGTTGGGTCAGTTAATGTCTCTCTGATTTTCCTCTGATATGTTTAAGGGAAATCGACAGATCTGAGGAAACAACCTAAAAGGAAAAGGTTTTTTTTAGTAGAAATGTAACTCTAACTATAAATAAAACCTTCTAGAGGAGTTCAGCTTGGACTAAAATGTTTTTCCAGCCCCACAGAGGTGTTTTGCTGACACAGAGAACACTGTCAGGCTGTTGTGAAGAATGTAATCTGCTGATTTGTTGTTGTTTGAGCAGAGTCCCTGCAGACACATTATTGTAAATTAACCATGGTGTGAGAAACACCATCTCATGGGCCATATTTCTTTATTAGCACTCAGTGGAAAAGATCTCACGTCCCACGCTCATTAGCATGAGGACAGAAAACTCTCAGCTTTCACAGCATCTCTGCCACGTCCTCCAGCTCACTGCTTCTCAGTGTCCACTGGGACGACTCCACAGCAACCAGCATTCATCCTGATCTTCATTAACAGCTGAGGGAAAATATTTATCTTCTGCTCATGCATCACATCTGTTATGCAGAACAGATTTTCTTCAGCAGCTCATTAAAGAACTTTGTAACACTGATGTCATGTGATCTGACATCAGACTGATTGAAGCAGGTTTCTCTCTGACTGTAATGTTAGAGACACATCAGCATGTATCGTATGAGCCGTTGGTGTCAGCAGAGTTTGTAAAGGGAAGTGTGGGTTGCAGCGTAAAAAGTGGAAAAACCCCACAGGCTCTAACATTACATGGTGCATTATTCATAGACTTAGGAAATGTTAGTCTGAACAGAAAGCATGATGTAATGCTCACTGACAACTTCTCACCTCTTCAATTATAACAGAATTAAAGGCCCGTGATCTTTCATGCCAGACTTTAGGCTTAGATCATATTATAATGAGAAATGACAGAGCTGTAGCTGCTTTGGCCAGATCTTTTAAATATTATACTGTCTGTGATATTGTGAGTCATGACTCTCAGCTACAGGGGTTAGCCAATGAAAGTGAAACACCTGGTTTTAGACCATAACATCCCTTTCAGACAGCTTCCTCTTGCGTCCACAGTTAATCCTGTTGGATGTGGTTGGTCCTTCTTGGTGGTATGCTGACATTACCCTGGATACTGTGGCTCTTGATACATCACAAGGACTTGCTGTTTTGGTCACAGATGCTCCAGCAAGGTGTGCACCAACAATTTGTCCTCTTTTGAACTCTGGTGTGTCACCCATAATGTTGTGTGCATTAGGGTTGGGCATAATCGTATCGTGTGCAATTAATCGTCAGAAAAACATTAATCGATTAATTTTTGGCACTTGACAATTAATACGATTAATGCCACCCGGCAGACCAACCACTTGGTGCTCCTCTGCTTCAAATCTAACAAACATTAAAAAAAAGTTGTGTAATTTATTTATCTATCAACACAATTAAAAGTTTGATGTATAGCCTTAAGTCTTTAATTTTGACACTAATTGGAACAGATTTTTACGAAGAGCCAGTTTTCTCCCTATAAAATGGTCATGTGACTAGGACATAAGAGTGTCCAGGGACTCGGGGATTATCGTCAAATTAATCGTTATCGGCTAAATACCACAATTAATCGTGATTAATTTATTTGCCAATATTGCCCAACCCTAGTGTGCATTGCAATATTTTGAGCCAAACTGTGCTCTTACCCTGCAAATTGAACCTTCACACTAAGGATGTCCCGATCCAGATTTTTTGGCTCCCGATAGAATCTGATTTTTTTAATGATTAATCTTTCTGATACCGATCCGATAGCTTTATTTTTTTATTTCTTTCCAAGTGACAAGGTTGGTAGTATTAAAGCGAGCCGTGCTGTTCCCACCACGAGAAACATCCAGTTTGCAGATTTTGCAAGATGCAGTTTCAGCATCATTGTTTTCCATTGAAAAGTGTTCCCACACTGTGGACATGGTTGCATACTTGTGTGCGTCTTGACTTCTGTTGTTGCGAAAACTGGATCGGCCCGATCACATGATTAAATCCGATTCTACACGATTTTCAAAAAATGGCCATATCTGCCACCGATACTGAGTATCTGATCAGGAAATCCCTACTTCACACTCTGCTCTTACTGGTGCAATCTGCAATTAATGAAGATTGGCCACCAGGCTGGTCCAGTTTAGTCATGAAACCTCCCACACTAAAATGACAGGTGTTTCAGTTTCATTGTCTAACCTCTGTACTACCACATCTAAAACCAAGTAACAGTTTTTATGTTGGCTGATTTTGCATTAGTTTTCTTCAGCAGTGTCTTTTTGCCTTTCCTGCTTGTACCTCATTAAGAGTGGTCTCAGGTGGTCTCTCACTATTCTCCTTCACTCAGTTTATAAGGGCGGCCTGCTCCTATGGAGGTGATTTTTTTTAATTGTTCAATCAAACAAAAAAGCAATTTCAATAAAAAATAATTCAATCAAAACGTTTTGCCAAACAGAAACTTGTTTTTCACATGTCATAAATCCTTGGTTGAATCACAACATTTTGGTTGAAACTCTGTTTTTGGTTGAACTCAAAGTTTTGAACTCAGAACATGAACATCTGGGGCTGGGCCTAAGGAGGAACTATGTAAGACACGTCCTTATTGGTTAGTGTGGACTGAAGCAATTTCCTGGTGCACCTGCTTTGAATGTTGTCAAACTAACAAATGGCTGTTATTAGGCGGTTATCAGTCCCATACATTGTGTGCAGACTGTCCCTCTTCTAATTCGTAGTAGGTTGGAAGGCACTTATCAACCCTACACGTCTGATAATATGCATGTAGGTGCAGTGGATTTGGCTCCTCCCCCAGGACATTGAGCTCATGTGGTCGGTCTGACTCGCTGTCCTTTGACTGGGGAAGGCACTCGATCTGCAGCATGGAGATCCAGGCTGTAGTCGGGGGTCGCCTCAAACATTGCTAACAGTTGCTAACGGACAGACAGCAGAGTTTTCCAGGTCTGCTCAGACATGTTTCAAACGTTAGTCAGCTGATCTCTGTGGTGCGTTAAGCATTTCCTGAAACTTTCATGTGTTTTTAGTTCGGTAGTTCTCCTACTGTAGTGTAAGCTCAATAGAGACCGGGCTTTTGCCACTCTGGGTCTTAAGTTGTGGAAGAACTTGCCTTTGAACATTAGACAGGCTGCTTTTAAATCTTCACTTAAAACCCACTTTTATTCTTTGGCTTTTGCTACATTTTTGGATGTTGTTTGTTATTGGTTTTCAGGGGTCGACACTAGAGATGGGATAAATGGCTCTTTGAAGGGATCTGGTTCTTGGGGAGTCGTTTGTTTCCTAGAGCCGTTCAACAGAGCCATTCGATTTTGAACGTGTTACATCATCACGTAGGGAAATACGTCATCACGTAGCTGTACGTAATGACGTCATCCCGTCACGTGGGTGGAACCATGTGTTTGTCAAGCGGAACGCCCCCTCCCTCTTTCATCGTGAACTTCTGTACTCCACAACTCTGCCAGTTTTTCATGAAAAAGGAAAGCGGGAGCAATTTAAGTATGAAAAAATAAAGATTTTATGAGGTGAAGTAATTTTGTAACTGATTAATTGATTGTTAGATTCAGTATTGTATTTTATACTTTCTGATCATTGCAGCTTTAAGGCCATAACAGAATAAGAGTTGGTGTGTATGTTATCATGTGTTCTTTCTTTTAATCTAAACAAAACTGAGTGACGTCATTTCTGATGTCTGATGTAAAAGGTAACACCTCCTGGGGTGTAACCAAGAAGAAAGGTACATTATAAGCTCTATTCATTATTATAGAAAAAGAAGTTGTCAGTGTTTTGCAGAGTGTCTGCTCAGAGCAGAGCTCTTGTTTGTTTTGGTTCAGCCGAAGGTCTGACTGAGGCCTGTGCTGCTGAGCGCTGAATGTACCTGATTGGAGTCAGAAGACTGAAAATAAAGTTTTAAAGAAGAAATCCAGCTGGTTCCTGTTAGTTCGGACATGCCATTTTGAACAACTCATATTTTTCCAACAGAGGAATAAAATAAATAAAACTACAAATGGTTCGTTACTGCCCGCGACTCGGCTCCTATCGTTCGTTGTAAAGAGCCGTTCAAAAGATTTGGATCGTTCGCGAACGTCCCATCTGTAGTCGACACAACCATTGTTTAGGTTGTCCGAGACAACCTATTTTCATTTTGAACAATCAGATTCCGCCTCCTGGTTGTCTGATGAACAACCAAGAAAAAAAGACCTAGAGGTTTTCCACTGCGGGTCTTCGTCATTGGTCAAAATGAAAGGGAGAAAGTTCTTGTTAAAGTCGTCTAGGGATTAAAATGGCAGTTCTTTCACCCAATAGAGAGAACCACAGTCAAATGTTTTACCCAGTCAGCAGGACGGGTCGTACTGTGACTGACAGCAGGTGTGCACAGCTACAGCCTCAGTCGGAGGGCAGATGAACTACTCCCAAGAAAGCTCTCAGCGTTTTCTGGACTATTTTCCACCAAGGATTACATATTTCATATATATTATATTTCTAAGAACACCTCACAGCATTTCCACCATAACATCATGTGTTCACGAGCACAATAAAACTGTGAGAGCTCACCTGACCGTTGTTTGTAAAGTGAGGGCTGAGAGGCAGCTTGACCACAGCTGCTGCACCTCTCCACCTGCAGCACAGCTCCTACCTGCCCGGGACTCAAGAGTCTAAACTCTTTTTATTATTTAAATATTCATGTGTTTGGAGCGATGTTTTTGTCTTACAGATATGTGCAACTGGCACGTGAACTCCTAATTCTCAAAGGAGCCGCACGTTGCGGGAGCACGCTTTAATATGAACACTGTAAAAATATGAGTGACAAAATATTTTATGCCCCTATTTCTAACAAAGATGTGTCCATGTTTGACTTGGATTTTTTTTTTTTTTTTTATAAAATCACAGAGTTCTCTGAGTCAGCTTCAGGTGCTTGTAGTTAATCATATAAATCTGCTAAATTGAAACAGCTGTTTCAATGCCTTTAAATTACACAATTATTTTAGTGGAGAAACGTGTCAGTTTGGTTTAAAAAAAGATACAGAAAGAATATGTTTTTTCTGTGCAGAGATCATCTTGTGCTATATTTTTTAAAATAAATATATCAAAGCTCCTCAGTTGAAAACACTAAAATAACAGAAAATAGCAGTTTACCTCTATTTCTTTCCCTCTTCAGTCCTAAGAACACTAAACTGTAAATTTTAATAAGGCCATGTAGACAGTATACTCCTAATTAAATGAAAATATTTGACCTGTAAGCAGAAAGCTTATGGATGTTGGGTAATCTCTAGCTGCAGAAAAGTTTTAGCAGCAATATTTTTGCTCTCTATTTCAAAGAAGAGGATGAGGAGGAGAACTAGGAAGTTCTCCTCAAGCAGCCCCTGAAACTGTCAACCTGCTGACTGAGAACATTTGTATATCGTAAACTTTGTATACAGAACTATATACTTATTAAATTACATTTTTAGTGATTCTTTTGGAGAACCAAAATGTTTTGCGGACAACCAGATTTTGTCAACAGGTTGTCTGCTGGACAACCTGAAAAAAATCCTTATGTCCACCCCTGGTTTTATTTTTTATTGCTGTGTTTGATTTTACTGTATTGTACTGTGCAGCACTTTATTCCCTTGGAGGCGTTTTAAACGACTTTATAAATAAATTGGATTGGATTAGAAGTGGTAGTTAATTGGCTTTAGCCTGTACAAAAATAACCCAAGTCAGTAATTTTTACAGACATTGAGCTGTAGGTTTGGTGTGGTAGTTGTTGAGTCATTCACAACACACACTTCAAAACATTATTTTCAAGGTTTCACCAAAACAGCTCCAGCTCCATTTTTCAACAAAAAACATCCTTAGCATAAAATTCTGAATGCTAGGAAATTTTAATAATCAGGTTTGTGTTATTTTGTTCTTGCTGTAGACTAAAGGAATAAAGTCTTAACTAAAGGGTTTGTGTTGGTTCTTCATGTGACCAGCTGCTCCACTACTACCTGCTCCTTCATGTTCTGTGGTCCACCTGACACATGAACTGCTATCATGGTGGCTCATTTTGCACATTTCCTCCCCTCCCCGGAGGTACCTTGCCAAGCAACTCCACTTCTGCTCCTGTCTCATTTGTGGTTCCACTCTGTGACTGTTTGCATCATCAGCACAACCAAAGCCTGAGCTACTAAACTGTTTGGTTGTCCTGTTCTCCATTTGCAGTAATGTTTATTTCCACTTTGCAGTCCCTGCCATGGCAGCTGGTGTCACCGTACTGACGGACCGGCCCTACACTGTCAGTGATTTCCAGACAAGAGAGATAAGTGCAGAAATGGAGACAGGTAAGTGAGCTTTATTATAAAGTAAGACAGTTGTGCCCTGCTCTGTTGTTTGTGTAGCACTGAGACTAACATCGACCAACTCACCTAATCTAGGCTGCCTTATTTGAACATAAATTTATTTATTTAAGTTTTTTATTTATTATACTGTTTACCCAATAACCCATTAATCTGAACTCAGATACATGAAGCTAAACATTTGTTATAAAATGGATGTTATATTGTTTATTTGCCTTTAATTGAAGTGTTGGTTGGTCTCTACCTTTAAGTATTTCTGCTATCTGAAAAATTAGTTTGGTATAAACACGGCCGGTTACTGGGTTCAAGTAATGTACATGGTTTTTAAAAAGTGGCACTGTCAAATCAACAAAGATTTTCCATCATACTACTGTTTAAAGGTCTTAAAAGAGATAATGGCATATATTTTCAGTCCTGCACAGTACCTGAAGGTGGAATTCTCCTAAACCTTTACTCTGTTAAAAAAAGGCATTGTTTGGATGTACATTTATTTTGGGAGATAATCGAGTCAATCATTGCTTGTCTACCAAAGGACTAATGTCCGTCTCTCTTTTTAAAGTAAAGCGTTTTTTTCTTTCTTTTTTTCTTTTTTTAATTTTACCATGAAGGTTCCAGTGAGAAAAACCTTCTTACTTTCCAGTGAGTCTTGGTCAAGATGGCCCATCAAGAGTGATGGAATACAAATCGTGTTACAAAAAGACGCCAACAAAAGACATACTGTTATATATTGAATGGCATTAAACATGGGTTAAAGCAAAATACCTGTCAAGAAACTATACTAAACAAGAGCAATTTATTCCACTATAGGATAAAATTAAGAGTAAAAATTTACAAGTTCCTTTTGTGCAGTTTTTAAAAATCCATCCAAATGTGAAGAGAGGCAAGTGTCTGAAGGCTGCTGTTGTTTTGATAATGGTATTGGTTATGATAATGGTTATGGTTATGGTGAGTGGGGTTAGGGCTGCCACGATTAATCGATTAATCGACGACTAATCGATTATTAAAATAATAGATGACTAATTTAATAATCGATTAATCGTTTTCTTTTTTTGTTGTTGTTCTTTACTTTGTTTTTCTCTCCAAACTGCTTTGACACCTTCCACTGTCACATCTACCTTTCTGTCCTTGACACACATGCACAGTAGTGGTAACTGGGGTAGGCCGTGGACGTCACAAGACATTATACAGACAGGCTCTGGTATCATGGTTACCTGACAACAGAGCTCAAAGTGTGGGATCATTTTAAGAAAATGAAAGAGAAACCTGTGCAATATCTGCAGAGCAGAACTTGTCTTCCACAACAATTATTTTTAGTTAGCATATAGCTAAAATCTAACAATGGTTATATAATAGCAGATGCATTCTGACGTGATAAGCTCTATGTTTTATATTCAATTAACGTATGATCCGATTAGTCGACTAATCGAATAAATAATCGTTGATTAATCGATTATTAAAATAATCGTTTGTGGCAGCCCTAGTGGGGATGGATAAAGAACACCTATGAGTGGGGACCACATAAGTAAGTAAGTAAAATTTTATTTATATAGCGCCTTCACAGAAATAAATTCACAAGGTGCTGTACATTCAGGGAAGGTGGGAGGGGGCAGTTAAGACAGGTCATGCAGCAAACATAGTTGCGCTACCTTTAGACAAACAAAACAACAGAACAACAGCTTGAAATACACAAAAGGAAAACTGAGTTAAAACAACCTTATAGCCTGGGAGGGGAGGGCTTAGGTCAGATAACACATAAACCTCACCCCAGTTTTACAACAACTTCACTGGCTTCCAGTCACATTCAGAATTCAATTCAAAATCCTGCTGTTCACATTCAAGGCCATCTTGCCCCTCCCTATCTGTCTGATTGATTACACATCACTACCCATTCACGCTCCCTCCATTCTTCTTCTTCCTTCCATCTCAACGTGCCTCTTGTTTTGCCTCAGCACCATGGGAAACAGAGCCTTCTCTCACTCTGCTCCCCAACTCTGGAACGCTCTTCCCCCTTACATTCGTAAAATTGACTGTCTTCTTACTTTCAAATCACAACTCAAAACTCATCTGTTCAAGTTAGCCTTCTCACTTTAATTTCTTATTTTCTTTTAATTTTTGTGTTATTTATTGCCTTTTTATTGTTAATGTTGTGTTTTTAATGTTGTAAAGTGTCCTTGGGTGTTTTGAAAGGCGCTAACAAATAAAATAGTTTTCAGTCAGTTTGAGTTCCAAAGCCGGGTCCAACACGGGTGGGTGATGGGGTAGGAGCAAATCCAGCTCTTTATTGACATTTCATCCTGGGGAAGTTAAGATAAGCACTGCCCTTAAGGCTGTGCCGCTGGGAGCCAGATAAGATAATCCAGTTGTTTTGGAACAAAGAAACCTTGAAATTCGTGCTTCTTTTGAAGTGTCTTTACTGCAAACTCTGAGGTGGCGAAAAAAGCAAATCAGCCAAATTTGGGGTCTTCCTCGCCTCTCACCGATTGAAGCTCACCCAGAATGCAGTCCATACATGCCGAAGGGTCACTCCTGAGTTGTGATCCTCATAATCACATCCAGTTTGCGAATTTTCCCCCAGCTGAGAGTCTGTGTGCTTCCAAACCGGCAGAATCCTTCAAGTGCGCCCGAACAGCTCTTTAAAAGGCCCGATCCACTGTCAGGGTCGCTTTCACTTTTCGATAAATCTAGAACCCTCCTCCGCTGATCAGCAGGAATCCAGTTATCATAAACCAATTAAATAAAGTTTAGTTGTAAGTGGGCCCATTGCTCTCCCCAAAAAGAGACTGAGCATTAACAGACCTCCGCATTCCTCAGATGAAGGACACAAAGTTAGAAACACTGTGTTTTTAACTTCTCAGGATCCTTAAAGGGGTCCCAAATGGTTATTTTTCTTTGACTGCTCAGAGATGACTATATAAAGTTTTGTGTTGATAACACCATCCCCAGCAGAACAGTGCGATGCTTCCCTAATAACAAACCCTGGATCACCAGTGAGCTAAAGGAACTGTTAAACAAGAAAAAAAGAGCCTTTATGGATTGAGACAGGGATTTATTGAGGAGTATACAGAAGCATCTCAAAGTCCAGATCAGAGACAGCAGTGAGGTTTATAGAAGGAAGCTGGAGAGTAAACTGAAAAGGAACAATATCAGAGATGTGTGGTCAGGGATGAAGAAGATCACAGGRTTCAAGCAAAAGGAGAATCAGATGGATGGAAGTCTGGACAGAGCAAATGAGCTGAACATATTCTTCAACAGGTTCAGCTCAAGAACAAGCTTATCTTCCTCCTCTCCTGCCCCCAGCCAAACAGACATCTCACCCTCCTTTGACCCACAGCTTTCCTGTCAAACCTCAGATGTTTTATCTTCAACCTCAGTCATGGGCTCATCTGCATCCACAAGTTTGTCTTCAACTAAATCAATCAGGAGATGCTGCTGCTTCCTTTGGACCCCCTCCTTCTTTTCTGTATCTAGAAGTCAGGTGAAGAGGCAGCTAGAGAGACTGAACCAGACCCTGCAGGTCCAGATGGTGTCAGCCCCAGAGTCCTGAAGMCRTGTGCAGACCAGCTCTGTGGGATTCTGCAACACCTCTTCAACCTTAGCTTGACCCAGGAGAAGGTGCCAGTGTTGRGGAYGACATCRTGTCTGGTTCCAGTACCAAAGAAAACTCACCCATCAGCCCTTAATGACTATAGACCTTGTTTCTGTTACATTTACACCATGTATCACTGTATAACCTAGAGCTGGGCGGTATGACTCAAATTTTATATCATGGTATTTTCAACAATTACACTGGTTTCACAGTATTTGACAGTATTTTTTTTTATCACAGCTCAGCTGCTAATAAAATGTAAAAACATTGTTTATTGACTTTTTTCTTTTACTGTACCTCTGTCTGTGTGGCTGTTTCCCTCCTCTTGTACGTCTTTTCTTCTTTGCCTGGTTGTAGACAGTAATCATGCATTTAGGTCCGATCGTGAAGGGTTGAGAAAAGATCATTTTCGGGCCTATCGTTGTGTGTAGATAAAACTTAAAAGGACGACTCACCTTGCACACCAGTCAACTTAGCTCTACTACAAAACTACTTCCCCCCGGGCTTTTCACAATAGAAGCATGTTAAAGTCTCCAGTCTCCATTATAACAGCGCGTTAAATCTAACCGTGCACGTGACTGAAGAGGTGTTTACTACATTCAGCGATGGTGAAAACGGGATGTTTTTTTTTTAACTTCAGTAAATATAAGCAGCTGAAACACCACCCAGCACCAGTTACTCCAATCAAGCTGCTCCAAAAATAGCATTAGCATGCTAATGCACGTAGCGGTGCTGCGAGGAAAAGTGTCCCCCGGGAAACAGTTCACGGGCGGCCGCGACAAAACTTTCTGAACGTGTTCAGGCTATTTAAACCGGTATGTCCGGTATTCAGAAAATTCATATTCATATCATAACAAAAATAAAAACTGGTTTTCTGTACAAAACAGTATACCACCCAGCACTAATATAACCTGTAATTAAACCATCTGCAGCTGTTATTGTTTCATATCTGTACATCGGTTGCAGCTGGCATTTTTTCACAGAATGCTAGGCTTTTAATTTGACTTAATTTTCCACTTGTATTGCACTATTTGTACATTGCAATAGTGTAACTTAAAATTTGTGATAACTACTAAGGAGCTTGAAATGAACAAGATATATTATGTGTGTTTAGCAAAATATTTTAATTAAAGAATGTTAAGAGCATACAGAATCTGCTTTGAATTAGGGTTAGTTATCACCTAGGACAGTGATTCCCAAACATTTCAGCTTTTGACCCACAAAACACCAGCAGCAGAGACCTGAGCCCTCAGCTGTTGTCAGTTGATAAACATTGTTTTCATGTCAAATAAACAAGAGAGTAACATTATTTACTATACTATTTTTGTCCATTTTAAGTACACTAATCTTATAATTTTGTAACAACAAAGGCAAAAAAAATGTTGTAAGTTGTCATTTTTTTGTGTAATTTTTTCAGAAAACGTTTTCAGGACCCCACCTTGATGCTTCAGGACCCCACTTTGGGTCTCGACCCCAACTTAAGGGACCACTGATCTAGGACATGGCTATTCAATATGATTCTTGATACAGTGCAGCTCAATTCCATTTCATTATTAATACATATTACTTTAATCTTATTGCTTAATGCCACTGACTCAGCTAAACCAACAAAGTATTATAAAATTATGTTACATATTTCTAACTATAAAAAAACGAACCTCTGGTTTTAAAGGACAAGGACACTTCCAGTATGCTGATGGCCATCTCTCTTAGTCATCTATCTCACTTGCAGCTTGTTTTTCCTTGCTTTGAACAGGAATCAGGCATTGTTTTACTGCCACATTAAGGGTTGGGGGTGTATCAATATTAAAAGACAAAAAATCAAAACGATATTGTTTTTTAAAAATATCAATTTTTATGCACAGCCCTTTGAATGGGATTAGTTTACACTGGTTGATGTTGAATGGGTGGGGCCGCTCCAGGTCTGCTGCTCTTTACTCGCCTGTAGTTCCAGGCTGCCTTAAATCTGTGTATCCAGTGATACCTGTATAGATTGTAGTCATGGTGACACTTCAAATGCTGCACGTGACCTGCACTGCAGTGGATGAATTTTGAATGATGATTCATTAAAAACAGAAAGGCGCCCACCACCGGGCTTTAACTCAGCCACTCTGTTAAAGGCTGTTGTCGCAAAAAGGTAAAAGAGACAAGAAGAATCAAAATTTTAAACTATTTATTACAACAGATCTAAACTGTCAAATCTGACAGTGCTCATTTGAATAAAGTTTAACACCAATAATGCCACCAATCTTGTCATAACTGGAATGTTGAATAACACATTGTTCTGTGACGTATACAGGATTAGTCTGTTACACCTAAGGAGAACATTTCAGAGAGTCTATTGGTATCTTATTAGTTAATCATAATTTTCTACAAGGTTCTGCAGTGCAGATCCTCTCTCCCACGGATGCTTCTATTAGTGTGAAATCCATGAGAACCACACCAAAAAGCACTTGTTACCTTTTGTTTTGCAGTTTGGTCCCTGCTTTACACACGAGAAAATGTCTGAACTAAAATATGTGTGAAAACCCCCCAAAAACTTCATGTTGTTTTCTTCAGCGAGTACAAGAGTCCCCACAGCCAAGTACACCAAGATGGGAGAGACTCTGAGGCACGTTATCCCCGGTCACATGCAGTGCTCCATGACCTGTGGAGGGAAGGCCTGTAAATATGAAAACCCCTCTCGCTGGAGTGATGAGGAGCAAGCCATCAAGGGACTCTATTCATCCTGGTATGTTGGAGAGTCGTGCAGTCCTGTTCAGCCTGGGCTTTCGTGTAATTCATATCAGCTGTAACATTAAAGTAAAATAATTCTCATAATATTCATAACTGCTTAAAACATGTTCCTAAAAGAGCTGAACATTTTATTTATATCCATCAATCAATTATCTTTGTTATGAATGTAAGTTGCAGGGCAGCAGCTTTAGCAGGGAGGCTCAGAAATCTCTTTCCATAGCTATCACTTCTGGAAGGATTCCAAGGCATTCCCAGACCTGCTGAAATTTATAGACTACAGTCACACTGCAGGCATATATGACACAAACCAGATTGTTTTGCCCCTTTGCAAGACAGGTCCTCTTCCTTTGTGGTACTAAATCTGATACAAATTCAATATATTTGAAAGCAACCCCACTCTGAACTGTGATGTTACATTTCATCTGGCTTTTACTTTCTTGAGGTACAGTAAAGGTAAACAGATTGATCCAAGAACAGAAGTCCAGTTTCATCTTGGTTCTTCTGAGAAATTCTGTCCATAAAATTTATGAACAGAATCACTAGCTGCGTTTCCATTGACCATGAAACTGCGCAAATTAGAATTTCGAAAATAAATTTGTTCAATGGAAACACATCAGTTTCGAAAAAATTACGTTTTTCGACAAATGTTTTTGCGCTAGAATGAGGTGGTTTTTCTATTGAATCGAAATTGGTGTTCTTCGTAAAACTGCAATGGTAACACTTTTTTCGCATCACGAGAGTCACATGATCAACAACTGGCTGTTTCTACTGGCGAAAAAGACGACGACAAAAAAGACAACAAGAAGTAGAAGTAGTAATATCACAGAAGTAGTAAAAGAAAATAGTAAACTCACTGACTACAATTTCCCAAAAACACCGCATATGTAGCCACTCCCAAGTATAAGGGGCTTGTCGCTTGAAAGCCTCTAAGACGCCGACGTCTCTTCTGAAGATGAGAACTAGTGTTGCGGTAGCAATATGCTATGTGTTTACATCCATTGCCGCCATGTTTGTAATGACTTATTGCACGAACAAATATATTCACGCGTGACTTTAATAGCATTTCTTATTTAATGGAAACACCGCAGTTGCGAAACTGTGTTTTTTGACATTAACAGAATATCGACAAAGTTATGTGCACATTTGCAATGGAAATGCAGCTTATGACAATGGGCAGCACTGGCAGAGTCCAACTCCCACCCTGAAGTGGTCTGACTAACTGCCGTCAGTGCAAACTGAAAGGCTTGTAGCAACAGACCCACAATTTCACTTACGAAGCACTCCTAACAGTGCACCTCAAGGAACGCAGTCAAATGCCTTCTCTAAGTCCACAAAACACATGTAGACTGATTTGGCAAGCTGCCATGACTCTTTGAGGACCCTTGTGAAGGTAAAAAGTTGGTCCAGTCTTCCAGGACCTGCATGGAACCTGCATTATTCCTCCTGAATCTGACGTTTGACTATCATTCTGACTCTCTTCTCCAGTAACCCTGAATAGACATCACCAGGGAGGCTAAGGAGAGTGATGCCCCTGCAATTCAAACACACCCTCTGATCCCTCTTTTTGAAGAAAAAAACACGATCTCAGTCTGCCAATCCAGTGGCACTGCCCTCGGCGTCTATGATGTTGCAAAGGCGTGTCAAACAAGGACAGCCCTACAACATCCAGAGCTTTAAGGAAATCAGGATGGCTTTCAATTTATTCATCTGCCTGGTGGTTTGCTATAATATTTTCAGTGCTGATTGAGAGTTTCTATTCAAAGCTTGACCAAACTTGTTCCATATCAGAGCTTTTGCCTCCGTAACAGCCAGAGTTGAGCCCCCCGGTACAGCAATACTCCTCAGCTGTCTCTGAAGTCCTACCAGCCAGCAAAGATAGGACTCTTTCTTTGGCTTGACAGATTCCCTCACTTGGGGTATCCAACGCCAGTTTTGAAGATGGCCACTGTGAGTGGTACCAGTAACTTTTCAGTCACAGCTCAAGGCTGCCGACTCGACAGTGAAAGAATGGAAAATGGCCTTCTCAGACTCTGTGTCCCCTGCCTTTGTTGGGATGAGGTTAAAGTTCTCTTAGATGTGTGGGTTGAAAATCCTTTTAATGGGTTCTTGCACCAGAAGTTCCCAGCAAACCTTCACTGTACATTAGGGTCTACCGAGTCTGCCCAGCATCTTCCCTTGTCATCTGATCCAACTCAGGATCCAATTTTTTTCTACCTAGATTACTGAGATGCATCAGGAAAAAAATTGTCTTTAGAGCAATCACGATAATCTGGATGTCCTTAAGATTGTCGGCAGGGCAAAAATTGGGCCAGAATTTGGCACGATTATCCTGCCGTGTGATGCAGGCCTTGCAGATGGTGATCAGTTGACAGCTCAGCTCCTCTCTTATAGCTGCAGATCAGATGACGTGACTACAAAGTCAGTCATAAATCTATGACCTAGGATGTTATGTTGTCATGTGCACTTATGAACGTACTTATGTTCAAACATGGTGAATGTGATGGACAAACTTGTTAGGACTGAAGTCCAGCAACAGAACACCACTTGGGCGGCACAACGGCTCAGTGGTTAGCACCGATGTCTCACAGCAAGAAGGTCCAGGGTTCGATCCCCGGTTCGGACCTGGGGTCTTTCTGTGTGGAGTTTGCATGTTCTCCTCATGCTTGTGTGGGTTTTCTCCGGGTACTCCGTTTTCCCCCACCACCAAAAACATGTACAATAAGTTGCCTTCAGGCCCAGGCTTCCCTTGAAATAAAGATCTGAGATCCCAACGGGACTTGCCTGGTTAAATAACGGTAAATAAAATAAAAAAAATCAGAGAGACCATTCATCCCAATCATGCCCTTACGGTTCACACTGTTGCTACCCATGTGGAAGTTGAAGTCCCCCAGCAAAATAAAGAACTTTCCCTAAGGACTCCAAGAAGGCTGAAGCACACAGGTTTTATGATTTATGACAATAATCTGTAGAAGTACAGTTGAAAACACAAGTTTACATGCACTGTATGACATGCGTTTTTTTCACACAGTCTAACATGAAATCAGAATAAACCTTTCTCATTTTAGGCCCGTTAGAATTACCAACAATTTTCTATTTGCTAAATGCCAGAATGAGAGAAATTCTAAGGAAATTTTTATTACTTGTATATGTCTTTTTATATGGTGTATGTAAACTTATGGTTTCAACTGTAGATTGCAAAAAAACATGTAGAAATGTAAAAAAAAACATGACTAATTTTGTTTTTCAAAACTGGTTACCTGAACTGGTCACTTTTTGGTATATGTGCTTTAGTGAGTTTAAAGGTTTTGTTTCAGTTTTTAAGCGTGAAAAACTGATTATACCACACCTTTTTATTTGTGCTATTTTTGGTTTACAGGATTACTGACAATTTGCTGGCTATGGCAAGGCCTTCCACTGAAATCATAGAGAAATATAATATAATCCAACAGTTTCAAAGGTACGGCTTTTTTATGACTTGTTTTTTACTATGATGTTGTGTTTTTATGTCATAAAACCTTGTTAAATGTATTTTTGATAGTTTGTGTTCTATAACAGAATTTATAACAAGGGCTATTCTACATTGCTCAGTGGACCACAGTTACTGAAAGCCAGCAGATCGTGGCCAGACGTCCAACAGTTAAATAAATACAGTCTACTTTTACTTAAAGAAAACCTGTCTGTAACTTTTTGAGTAATGTCTTGTACAGATGGACAGACAGACAAGCAAACAAACAACTTCCATAGTAAAGGTACTAAAATTTAACAGGTGTGTAAGTCAGGATTTTCTGTCTGGACAAAAATTTTCCTCAAGTTGAAAATGTTTTTTTTTTATGGAGAATTTTGGGTAAATATCACTGTGTGTGAAATGAAGTTGTACAAAGAAGAGAACCACATAACTAGTATAAATCCAAACAATTAAATGTTCCTGTTATTTTGGTTCCAAGTAGGGCTGCACGATATGGCCCAAAAAAATTTCACAGATTTTTTTCATCCCAAATTTGATTTTCGATTTTAATCGATTTTGCTTCTCACTTAACGGAGTGCCTCTGTTTCAGGTGTCAAAACAAATTTGTTGTACTCCTGCTTTTTGTAGCAAGAGCCTTTAAACAGATTTAGCTGTTTGTTGCTCCAAGTCTGAGGTTGTGATACCTAACCAGTTCCAGATAACTGAAGAACCAGTGCCTTTTTTGAGAAGTAGATCCTCTTTGCTAGCTGCCATATTGTCATGTCGTGTACCAAGAGTCTTGAGGGACAGGTGGGATAACTTCTGAACTACAGAAGCACAAAAGAGTGCAGTGGTGGGGAAAAAAAATCTTGATTTTCCCAAAATCAAATCTTTATAAATGGCAAATTCGAATTAATTGATTAAATCAATTTATTGCCCAACCCTAGTTGCAAGCTTCCAAGAAGCTGCAGAGGCCCTGACAAACCACGTGGCCCCAGAGCCGCAGGTTGTAGACCCCTATTTCACAGTGTAGTTCTGTTTTAGTGTGCAACATTTGGATGGTTTTAACTTGCTGGGCCCGGCTCTTCTCAGGTGTTCTTTGAAGACTGTCATCAACCTGCAGCGACCCGGTGAACATGCCAGCTGTGGAAAACCACTGGAGCAGGAAAGTGGTTTCACTTATCGACCCGAGACTTTCATGGAGGCGGGCAGTAAGTGTCCCCGCCCACCTGCTGTTGCATTCTGTTCTTGTGTAGCCCTGCTCTGACTAAAAGAGGAGTTAAGTGATGGATGTTGTCTGTTCTGTGGAGAGTCTGGAAATCAGTGTTCATAAACATAAATAACTTCAAAGTTTAAGGATTTTTATTTTTCTGCATTGGTAGAAATTTTGCTAAGTTTAAAAAGACACATTTCAAGCAGATTTCTGTTTTTTTAATAGAATAATCTTAGCCTTAATATGAAAATTAATAAATGATTTTTGGCTGTGAAAATATTTTATTCAGATTAAACTAAGAACCGAAACATTCACTGTTTGATGGAGCAGTTTCTCCTATTTGTAATGAGTTATCTGATGACAATCTGTGATTATATGTTAGTGTAGACCAGGGGTCTCCAACCAGTAGCTCCTGAGCTCATTTACAGTAGCTCTTCATTGCTTATGAATAATTAAGAGAAACAAAATTTTAATTTGTCACTGGCCAAACAAACTTTCATTTATGTCCTGATGCATCTCAGTAATCCAGGTAAAAAAAAATATCAAAAAGAAAAAATAAGTAGGTCCTCTGGATGGGTTCATCTTTAACACATTGTGACAAAGATTAGTTCACCCCAAAGATCCAGTTCCCCGACAAAAACAGAGTAATATAGTATATGCTGTTAAGTATCAGGAGGACTGTGATCAGTTATACATTGGGGAAACAAAACACTGTTCAAAAGAATGAGCCAGCACAGACGAGCTACGTCGTCTGGTCAGGACTCTGCAGTTTACACTCATCTACAGGCCAGGACTCTGCAGTTTACACTCATCTACAGGCCAGCGGTCACTGTTTCAGGGATGAAGATGTTCTCATCCTTGATAGAGAGYAACGTTGGTTTGAGAGAGGAGTAAAGGAAGCCGTCTTTGTGAAGAAAAACCATCCACCAAAAATATTCTCTACGACCTGACCTGAGAAACATCACCTCTCTTCCTGTGTTCAAGACTGCTTTGAAAACACACCTCTTTAGATTAGCATATCCATCTTAACTTCATTTGTAATCCATGCTCTATAACTCATGCCAGCTTGTCTCTGTAATTTCACACATTCTTCTACGATGTGCCTACTGCTGTAAGTGTCCTTGGGTGTCCTGAAAGGTGCTTTTCAAATAAAATTATTATTATTATTATTATATTATTATTATTATTATTACTACCATTAAACAGAGGTGGAGGCCTTCGTGTCCAGTTGTCCTCCTCCTACAACGCTGTTATTGCAAGTATGACTCAGCCCCCTGTGAGAATCAGGGCCCCAACGATAACCAACACAATGAGGGGAAAAAAAGACAAAAACAAGGGGACGCTGAGCCCCGCCTGCATTCACTACATACACATGACACGGCACCTAAGAACCACAGCATCCAAACCAATAAGTCAGGTGATGGGGCACATGACACTCTACAAACAACAGAGCTAATCAAGCCTATTGTTAGTCGATGGCTCTCTTTTGCACGTGACTAACCTGTTTGTCCATGTGGAGGCAGTGCTTATAAGGCTGAGTTCACCTGAAACTCATCAGACTGAAGAAGTGTCCTGGAGGAGAGACGAAACGTTTCACTAAAGAAGAACCCATCCAGAGGAACTACTTATTTTTTCTTTTTGAAACTTTCATTTAATTCCAGTCAAGCTAGCTGTAATCCAGTTATATTTCAGCTGAACTCTATTTTTGGAGAAATTAAATCAGGCAGATTTATGAAGTCAACATCTGGATTGATGGATTGTTGTTTGGGTCTTGTTTTGCACTTTGCACAGATACTATTTAAATATTTTTGTTTAACATCTTAATGAATATCTTGAAGTTATGAATAGGAAAATGGTGAATACAAACTTTAAAGCTCAAAAGTGACTAGAATTTTTTTAAATTAGTTGTATACTCATGGTCAGATTTTATATTGTTAAATGTTGATACATGTCTGTGCTGATGGAAACAGTTATGGTTCTGGTTTGGCATTGCACATGTTTATAAATTAAATCCTCATTTTGCATTTACTTGGGTTATATTAACATTTGTTTGATGAGCTGAAACATTTAAGTTGGAGATAATGACCAGTGCTTAATTTTACTGTTTTCAGTCTATTACTATAACTTTGGATGGAAAGACTATGGTGTAGCATCTCTAACCACAATTCTTGATATGGTGAAAGTCATGTCGTTTGCTGTTCAGGAAGGGAAAATGGCGGTCCACTGCCACGCTGGTCTTGGAAGGACAGGTTTGTAATGCCATCTGTTTAGAATTGATTAAATCCTTTGTTTGTATTTAAAAAATGTGAGTTTTGTGTTTGTATTTATCTTTATTTAGGTGTGCTACTGGCCTGTTACCTGGTCTTCACCACTCGGATGAATGCTGACCAAGCTATTCTGTTTGTACGAGCAAAGAGACCCAACTCCATCCAGACAAGAGGGCAGCTTCTGTGTGTCAGAGAGTTCGCCCAGTTTCTGGTTCCTCTGAGAAGTATTTTTTCATGTGCAGAACCCAAAACAAGCGCAGTCAACTTGTCCCAGTACCTCATCAGGCAGCGTCACCTGCTGCATGGCTACGAGGCTCGGCAGATGAAAAATGTGCCAAAGATAGTCCAGCTGGTGTGCAGGCTCCTCCTCAACATTGCAGCCAACAGACAGGTGATGGTGAAGGAACAGTGGCTGGAGATTCCTGACCTGACAGCTGAGGTGGAGAAAACTGTGTCCCAGCAGGCTCTTCAACAACTTGGCAAAGAAATGATTGGAAAAGGGATCCCTGTACTACCTTCTTCACTGCATACGCTCAGTCCACCACCGCTTCATTGGGATCAACCTCTCGCTAGTGACAATGAGCTCGACCCTCTGTGGAGGCAGCAGAATCTAGAAAGTTCTCACAGATCTTCTCTGTCCAACAGCAGGAGCCTCAGTGACTCTCTGCTTCACAAGTATGGACAAGTGCAGCACCAAGACACAAATCTAAAGAACAGATTTTTGTCCCACAGCAACCTTGCAGCCTGCAACTCTTCCAGTTGGTGGTATCTTTGTCCACAAGATGTCCTGAGCAGTATTCAAGATCTAAAGACAGAAGCAAATCCAGGCACCAGGCACATCATTTACCAAAAATCACTACAAAAGCGGCAACACAGCCTGACTTTGGAGCTATTTGAGCATGGAAGGAAAGCCCTTTGTAATGCACCACCTTCTATTCTGCTGAAGAACAGTGAGACGTCTGTGAACAGAGGACCAGACAGAGGACTGGCTGCAGAGCTGCCTTGTGCTGCTCTTCACTCCGAGCTCTCCTCAGAAAGCAGACGGGTGCTGGTGGCTAGAGCTCTGGCCTTGGACCTGAAGGACATGGCGCTCTCCTCTAAAGTCTCCTGGTGGCAGGTATTCTCTTTGATTTATTTAACCTTTTTTTAACCAGGTAGATCTCATTGAGATTAAAAATCTCTTTTTCAAGAGATACCTGGCCAAGAGTGGCAGCAGCAAACAGACATTACATAAACCAAAACTACAGATGTTTGCTGCTGCCACTCTTGGCCAGCAGCAGCAAACAGACATAATCCAAAACTACAGATGTTAAATTACCGTCAAATACTTCATGATAGATAAAAGAAAAACAAGAAACACCCATAAAAGATAAGATAGGACTCAAGTAGAGAACAAAATCAGCTAAAACATTTACAAACAAATATTTAATGTACAAAGTGTTTAAGATTGGCCCTAAAAACATTAAGAGACCAATTTCTTCAAATCTTTCTGCAGTAGATTCTAGTCTGAGGGAGCAGCAACTTTTACTGTCATCAGTGCAAACCTTAGGTATAGTTTAAGAGGAACTTAACCCAAAATTTACTTATTTTAGCTGATAAACTGTCTAGAATGTGTCTAAAATGTTATATAGTACTGTTTCTGTGCTAATTTTGATGTTTTTGTGCGTATTTGTTCAAATCTGTAATATTTTATCTAAAAACGTCTTTGCTGCTCATATGGGTAGAGCAGCGGTACTGCAGGCTAATTTGCATATTGGTTAACGGCTCTCCGCTGTGACGTGTCTTCTCCACGGTTTCGTCACAGCGGCTGTGTTCTGGTATAAAAGCCTCTSTCTAAGACACGCCCCTGCAGCAGTCAAGGGTTGGAACAGCTAGCATAGCATGATCATCTGTTACAGCTTATCGTAAAACTGTTGGCTGGTGCAGTGTAGGTCAGACTCATCTACAGCCCTGCCAAATTTCATGTTGATCGGTGCAGCCGTTTTTGTGGTACGGTTGACCAAAAATCACTGAAAAAAAACAGTATGAAAACAATATGACTCCAGCTTACGCTTCGCGTGCGGGGGTCGTAATAAAACTACTCATATTACGATGTGTAATGGGGTTATTCTTGTACCTCCATGCCACAGCGGCTGAATTCTTAACACCAGTGAAGAGGTGCTCATTTTGTTTTCTTATTATGACCCCCGCACATGAAGCGTAAGCGGGAGTCATACCATTATATCTGTGTATAAAGTGTGCTTTCACTGTTATGCAGATGACTTACAAATCTACTTGTCTCTCAAACTAGGCATGACTAACGTGTTTCTCTCTTTTTTTGGACTGCATAATGGCTGGTACACAGTGGCTAAGTAAAAACTTTCTGTTTTTAAATCATAAAAAGTCTGAATGTATTTTATTTGGTGACTTTCCACTACAGATGTCAGTGCCCTGCATTTTAAGCTAAATGCAACTGTTAGAAACCTAGGGGTACTATTTGATCAGGAGCTTAAATTTAATTTTTTGCAAATTTTTAACGTGTTATTCCAGTGTGAGTAACACAACACAACACAACACCTGGTCACAGTTTTTCAGCATGTTTGACCTTATATTACGTGCAATAATGTCTTGTCAGGAGAATCATGGTAGTATATAGAGTAGTGAGACGATGCAATAAAAGGTGGAGAGATGGAGGAAGCTCAGGTGATGCCTTAAATTAGTTTAGTGAAATTTGTAAAAATCATTGACAAAGTGAAGATTCAACACAATCTGCTGGCTTTAGTTTTATTGTTTTTTTGTGTACAGAGAGTCGAGACGACATTTATCGTGACTTCGCACTACATAATCGAATTGAACTGAACTAAACTAAACTGAACTGAACTGAACTGAACTGAATTGAACGACACCAGTGGAGGTATGAAAATGTCTAGTAGAGTTTGCAGTGAGGTTTTTATTTCCATTGTTAAATGGCATTTTTGAGAGTCGAGGCAGATGGTCTCCTGTCCTGAGCCTGGTTCTGCTGGAGGTTTCTTCCTGATTAGCAGGGAGTTTTTCCTCTCCACCGTTTGCTCAGGATGGGAGACTGTGATGAAGTGATTCAACACAATCTGCTGGTTTCTTCTTTACATTATTTTTTATGCACAGTGCCCTGAGACAACGTATGTTGTGACTTAGCGTTATATAAATAAATTAAATTGAATTGAATTGAATTGAATTGAATTGAATTGAAAAAAATCCTTAGCAAAAGGAGGTGGTGAGGAATTGGTGCCAGTTTTAAAGGGGCAATATTATGTGTTTCTCAGACATATATTTATATTCTGTACCATAATAAAGTAACTATGTCACCTTCCGTTGTTATTCAAATGTTTATATGTTTAAATAGAAAATAAACTTGACTTCACATCATTTCCGTTTCTAAACACCTTGAAATTGGCCTCTCTCTGTTTAAGAACCTCCTTCCGATTACAGATACTACATTTTGCATTTTGATCTTTTATCTCCTGTTTTCTAGAAGTCCCAGTTAAAAACCCCACTTTGAACTGGCCCCAATAAGTCCTTGTTTGAGTTTGGTGAAATTCATTTGTCAGTCTTTGTTGTGATTTGCAGACAGAGCTGAACTCCAGAGAGGGAACGTGGGAGAGGCTGTGCACTGAGAAAGACCCTCAGGTTCTCTCCTGTCTCATGTGGTCATGGCTGGAGCAGCTCAAAGATCCAATCATCACTCAGGAGGACGTAAAGATTCTCAGTGAGAAGAATATAAACCTACAGAATGTTATCAACTCGCTGGACAAGGTAAATATTTTGATAGCAACATTGAAAACAAAATGTGTGAAACTGCTCTTTAACTCCTTTATCATCTTAGTGTTGGCAATATTTTATTTACAATAAAGGTTTTGTCCACAACACTTTACATGTGTTCTAATTATGTAGTTTGTTTAAATTACCTGCAATTTCCATATTCCTATTGAAAGTTTCCAATTTGAAATATTTCCAAAATTCCCCAGCCTAACTGCTCGTGGAAGATTTCCACCCCCAGGACTGCGTAGGCTGTGGCCTACGTGGGCAGCAGTCTAGGTAGGCTACAGCCCCTGAATTGAGACACAGACTTCTTCTGTCAGCTGCCGTAATGCCCCCGCCCCAGCTGACCATGGAGGAAATCACAGGTCATGTTGGGTTTCAGAGAGAGAGGAATGACTTCCCCAATAACAGGAGAATGCCCACAGCAGGTAGAATGTCTGCATGTTAACAGCCAACAGGAGCCATGGTTCTGTTAACACCATGATGCTGCAGCTCCAGTACTCCCTCTGGTGTTAGACCAGCAGCAATAACTCCTCCAGCTTGTTGGGAAGTGAGCCACTGCTCTCCATGATGATCGAGGGGAGAGCGGGTCTGAATCTCTTGTTCCAGGTGTGACACCGGGCTCCAATGTAGGTCCCCCTTCTTCTACTCCTTAGATCAACGTGGACACTGGTTTGAGTCCAGGTCAGCAACACGTCGCTGTGAAGTACTTACAGCTGTTCCCTGCTGTAAACAACAGGGCTATGAGTAGGATCCACACAGTGTCAAAAATAGGTGTGTGGCTCAGTAGTGCCTTGAATGAGTGAATGTACAGTGGTTAGACAATAAAACTGAAACACCTGTCATTTTAGTTTGGGAGGTTTCATGGCTAAATTGGACCAGCCTGGTGGTCAGTCTTCATTAATTGCACATTGCACCAGTAAGACCAGAGTGTGAAGGTTCAATTAGCAGGGTAAGAGCACAGTTTGGCTCAAAATATTGCAATGCATACAACATTATGGGTGACATACCAGAGTTCAAAAGGGGACAAATTGTTGGTGCACGTCTTGTTGGAGCATCTGTGACCAAGACAGCAAGTCTTTGTGATGTATCAAGAGCCACAGTATCCAGGGTAATGTCAGCATACCACCAAGAAGGATGAACCACATCCAACAGGATTAACTGTGGACGCAAGAGGAAGCTGTCTGAAAGGGATGTTATGGTCTGAAACCAGGTGTTTCACTTTCATTGTCTAACCCCTGTATACACAAGGTGAGTCAAAAGTCACAGGACACCCTTTGGTTTTGATATAATATGGCAGCTTTCAAGATGGCAGCCATGTTCTGGTCATAGCTTGAAAGATGGCATTACTTGCTGGAGTGTTCTGATGTTTAATCTCCCCTTTTCTTTCTGAAATAAAAGAGGGTGCTGCAACTTTAAATCCTTTTTTGTATTTAGGCAAGCCTAAAAATACTCCTCTGATCATACATCCTGTCTCCTACCACCCGCCAGGGCCCTGGTCTCACTTTGTTGTGTGTCCTTGACTGTGCTGCTCGTCTCCTGCCTGCGCCTGAAGAAGTTGTGACAATGTTTCTTAACCAAACGATCAAAGTATTCACCAAGGTAAAGGACAGCTCTGTGTATCCTGACTGCATGAATGTTTGGGAACTGAAATGTTTGTTTTTGCTCTGCAGACTGATCCAGCCTCAGACAAGAATGAGTCTTTGTACAGAACATTGAAATCAGTCCTGGCTCCTCTTCTTCAGGAGCTGCGGGACAAAGCTGAAGAGTCCTGATCAGTCTGGACACCGTCCCAAACAGGGTTTACTGTCCTTGTTGACACAATACTGGATCCAAAGCCAGTTCTTTGAACCAAATCCTACTGAGATCTGCCAATCTGTGTTCTTTAAGCAGTTTGATGTCATTAAAAGGTTTAAGGTTCTGTTTTCATTTTGCCATTTTTGATTTAACGTGCCACTGCTTAGTTTGAAACACATCTGTTATCTGTTCTAGTCAAATGTTTTTGTGGCTTGTGTTATTTAACTCTTAAGGTAGTATTTCACTGGGCTCTGACTGTTAGTGACTAGTTGACTCATAATTGCAGGAAAAGTGGCAAATTTTTCTGTTGCTTTCTCACTGATTTCTGTTTGTGACAAATGAGCCGTGTGGTCATGTGTTGAGTAGAGTTGTTGAAAATCAAGGCCTGTTTTCATGTGAATGGCATGTAAACCTGTGTTTTAGGCTGTGCACATTGTTTTGTTGTCCACTTCCAACCATATTGTATCTACTTCAGCATGCTACGGTGGGAAAAAAAGTATTTATTCAGCCGCCAATTGTTCAAGTTTTCGCACTTAAAAAGATGAGAGAGGCCTGTAACTGACATCATAGTTAGACCTCAACTATGAGAGAAAAAATCATGTTTCCTGACTCACTGATAGCAAATCATGTGTTGCATCATGCTTACGATGCCTAGAAAAAAATCACACACTCCGATCGGCACAGCCTTCCTGCAGGGGGCGTTACCTGTATTAATGGCACCTGTTTGAACTTATCAGTATAAAAGACACCTGTTCACAGCCTCAAACAGTCACACTCCAAACTCCACTATGGTGAAGACGAAAGAGCTGTCGGAGGACACCAGAAA